CAATATCTTATAGTGCATTTAAAATACAATACAATTTTGTAATAATATTTGTAACAATACTGGGACTATTAAAAAAGAAAGAATATAGTTATAATATGTAAATAGACAAGAATGCAACTGGAGTGTACAAAAATACAATTGTATTATGAAAACACTATGTAAACAGACAAGAATGCAACTGGAGTGTACAAGAATACAGTTGTATTATGAAAACAGGACAAAAACCATTAACATTAGACAACCTGACATAGATCAGATCCATAACTGTGGAGAATGTCCATAATTTTTTTAGAGTTTTCTGATAAGGTACTTCTGCTTAATTAAAAATTTACTAAATGCTAGTTGATTATCCACAGGGAAAGGAGTGTGAAATTCCTCCGTTAACGGGCATGTAGTAATATAATGTTCAGGTATGCCTAGAGTTCCGCAGACACAATATTCACTATTTGCAATTCCATGCTTGTAAAAGTAGCTTGGAAATGGACCATGCCCCGAGATATATCTTACTAGTTGATGATTTGTTATCTGACGACATTGATCCCCATACATAATATGATTGTACGTTCGTCGACCGGTTTCATCAGTATCCCATTCTAGTTGCCATTGGGATATAACTTTTAAAAGAAGAGCTCTTTTTAAGTGAGATGTTGGCCACTTAAGATAAGAATCACTTCTTCAGCCTCGGCATCGGTATTTTCGGCAGCTGATTTTTTGGCTAAATTATCTGCCAAAGTATTACCGTGATCCCCAGCATGGCCCTTAGTCCAAGCTAGCGTGATGTTATTTCCCACTTGATTACGAAGTTCACATTGGATGTCCGAGATAAGCGAAGAAGAATGTCTGGGGTTTTGAATCGCTTGAAGCGACGAAAGACTATCAGTGATAATTATTGCCTCCATAGCACCACTTGTTTTACAGTGTTGAACTGCTTTGAGGACGGCTAGGGCCTCCGCTTGAAATACACTATTATTTCCATGGAGATGACCCAGCCACTGATAAATTGACAGACCATTATGAAAGGCTACAAGGGCACAGCCTATCTGTTGATCTATTTTAGATCCATCAGTGAAATATTGAATGCTTGGGATAGGTGGCAGTGTTACGTCTTTAAGGAAAATCCGAAGTCCTGTTCCTTGAAGGACTGGATGCACATCTAAATGTTGTGAGGGTTGTTCATAGTGCAATGGTGTGAAAAGTTCATCAAATAGGATGAAAGGTTTTTTCAAAACCTTGACGGATTGTATTGCTGCTTCCTGCAGAGTACGTAGATGTAGAGGGATCAGTCCCGCCATGACATTTAATGCACTGGATGAGGTAGTACGAAACGCCCTAGTTATCTGTAAGGCAAATTGACGCTGTAGACTTTGCAAGTGGCGTACTTTGCGACCCTGCATGGGTTCAGCCCATATAGCAGCCGCATAGGTGACCATTCTCTCGATAAAGGTGAGATAAAGAACCTTTTGTATATACGGACTAATTCCCCATCCACGACCCTGCATTTGACGCAATTTACATGCAATTATAACAGTTCGTCTCTTTAGTTCCAAAACATGCGGCATCCAGTTCAGTTTCTCGTCAAAGATAACGCCGAGAAATTTGAGCTGCGGTTTGATAGGTATACGTGTACCATGAATGATGATTCGAGGCCGTTGAACCAAAGATTCTCCTTTTTTAGGGATTAATAAAATTTGCGATTTGGGGTTCGGAAATTGTTAATTTAATTCTAGAACATAAGTTATAAAAGAGATCACAGGTTTCAATAGCATTTCTTTGCAACTCTTCTCGAGTTCGTCCTTGAATGATAAAAACTGTATCATCTGCATACGCATATGCCCGGGTATGTGCTGGCCAGTTTGCGGCAATAACAGAATTAAATGTTATATTCCATAAATCAGGGCCAGCACAAGAACCCTGCGGACAGCCTCTGTTTTGTTGTCTTGTAATAATGCCATGATTAGTGGAGTAGATAATTTTTCCTTTCCGACAAGTAACTTTGAAATGCAAGAAATAAATTCTGAGGACAATCAGCTTGTCGAAGTGCCTCCAGTATCGCAGGACACCACAGTGAGTAAAAAGCATTCTTAAGATCTATACTGATGAAAGCACTGTGGTGACCATTGTTGCGATTACGATGTATATCTTCTGTAATTTTTGATAATACTTGTAGGGTAGACCTACCTGGTCTAAAGCCATATTGGTGATCACTTAAAAAGTGAATTTTGTGAAGATAATGTTTTAAACGGTAGACAATAATTCTTTCATAAACTTTCCCCAGAGCAGATAATAGACATATAGGTCAATAAGATGTGGATAATTGCAGATCTTTGCCTTTTTTGAGGAAAAGAACCACTCTTCCAGCTTTGAAGATACGAGGAAATACACCATTAAGAAATAACTTATTAAAATAATCACAGAAGAAGATGTGGGAATTAATGATTACACGAATTATAGAATAGTCAATCCCGTCGGGGCCTGGGGCCCGTTTTTTTTTGGAATATTTCGAAGAGTGGTTTTAATTTCTGTAATTGTAATCTGTGGATCATCCTCTGTGTTAGGAATAGAAGTTTGCTGCCTAATTGACAAGTGCTCTGGGGAGTCATCTGTAATATCATCCTGAGGAAGAACTGATGTTAGAGTATCATTAATAGTATTTTCTATTGGGCTAGACCCGGCAAGTGATGATTCTGAAACTTACGTTGATGCAGGCTGGAAAAGCTTATCTCGAGCGATCTTATAGGGTTGTACGGATCTTAAGTTTACTAACGTTTATTTTTATTTTAAATCTTTACTATCACTTCTTATTTTCTACTTCCGGCCAGAATTAAAAGCGTTAACTTATTTATGCAAAATTTGTCTGGCAAACGCCAAGTACTTAAGTTGTGGCTTTTTGCCAAGCGAGAGAGAGGAAGGAGTTAGTCGAAGCTGGCCGCTTACCTTAGCAGTTTTACTCAGTTGCTGGTTGCCTTCCAGGCCAGAGGTTTAATCCTCGTGATAATTTTTAAACGTATTGTAGTGTTAACAGTTCTCTGTACTACATACGGCTTCCTGTTAATATAAGGCCAATTTTCCACGTAGGTCCTTGTTTATTATTCCAAAGTTAAGTTAGAATTTAGTTAAATATTTTTATATTCTTCTTACGTTCAGACCACAAGTAGTTGGTCTCTGTATTCCGAAGTACGGAAATTATTGTAAAGAGTGAAAATTAAAGGGTTTCGTATACCCTTCCTGTGTATCTTGTCTACTTCCCACATTTATTGAACATAGCTTTAGTAAGCTCCCTGTTCCGAGTCAGGTCTGTGCATGTTCCCAAAGAAAGTAAGACGGAACATTGAACCTGATAGTGGCGCCCAACGAAGAAGAATAACCATGGCCGAGTTTCAAGAAGAGCCTGTGCTGCCTGCAGAAGCGGCTCAGAATCCAGAAATGCCAGCTGCCGCCCTGGAAGGATTTGGTTACATCGTCCAGACCATGCGCGCTTCGATGAAACCAGAAGCAACATTTAATGGAAACTCACCGGTAACCAGTTTTTTTGGAAAAATTGGATGACCATTTCATGCTCTACCCGTGCACGAGTTTCAAAAAGTTACCTTAGCTACCAGCGCTTTGAGGGGCCAAGCGCTTAATTGGTTCAAATGTATAGGTAGAAAGGTCTCTTGGTCAAGCAGGAAGTCCCACCTATACTTACGAAAATTTCAAAGACTGCCTAGTAAAAGCCTTCCCTGTCGTAAGGGAAATCGTGCGAAATTAGAAACGGAACTTTTCAGCATATATCAGCAAAGAATCGAAAATCTCTCAAGCTTTATTTTAAGAAAAATTCACGTCTTCAAACTCTTGTATGGAAACCGTCCGGATCCTGAGATAATTCAAGTGATTTTGCCGAGGTTACTTCCCCAAGTGCAAGACGTTATTGAATTAAGGAATCCGACTACACTGGAAAGGTTATTTGAGCTAGCAATCCAGTTTGAAAGTAGAAGAACGGCGGACATTGAAAGAAGACCCCAATACCAACAACGAAACCAATTTTGTGCGCCAAGACCACAGCAAAGTCAAGCACACGGCTACGGAAGCAAAGCGAATCAGTGGGCAAGGAAACCCGAGCATTCATAAACAGCAGGCGAACGTCGACAGTTCAATAGCAATTCAGGAAAAAAGTCTCAAGGCCAGTGGAAAAAGAAGGAAAGCATGGAAATGAAAAATGATTTAAACTAAAACGGATTTCTGCTGACGGGAGGGTGCGGAAATCCGAAGGCCAAGAAAACCCCTCTTCCTTCAAGTTAAATACAGTAATGGTGAAAAATTTAACTCTTCCGAAGATTGAAGTGTTGGTGAATAATATCCCAGCCACCGCACTCCTGGATACAGGCGCGCAGTGTTCCTGTGTGGCAGAAGATTTTTTTTAGGAAGTATTTTTGTAAATATCGCATATATACTAATTCGGATAATACGACAGTGTTAGCTGCGCAAGGAGAAAATGTAAGTGCATAGGTAAATTACCGCTATACGTCCGTATCAAGGACGAACAAGTAAAGGTTATGTTTTTCATAGTAAAGAATCTGCAAGCACATATTATCTTAGGAATAGATTTTTTTTTTTCAGAGGCACAAGCAACGCTGGATTTTAATGAAGCGTCCCTTAAGCTGACGATGAAACCAGTTCGAGAAGAAAATGGCTGAACCGCCGATGTTAAACCTTGACCACCTGCCTAATGAAGAGCAACGAAATTCGACAAGTGGTAAGTGAATTTGCTTCGTTATTTAGTGATATTCCAGGATTTACTCAAGTTACTAACCATAGTATTGACACCGGAGATTCAATGCCAGTTCGCCACAAAGCATACCGGTATGATAAGAATAAGGAAAAAATTATAGAATGGCACATCAGCGATATGCTACGTGAAAAGATCATAGCGCCCATCTCAAGTAGTTATGCTAGCCTGGTGGTTTTATGTAAGAAAAATAATGACTATCCATTGACACATCCAAAAAGGTGACGATTCGCGATTGACTACCGTAAATTCAACTCCATAACTAAATATCCGGTATATCCGTTACCTATTATTGAAGAAATTCTAAGGAACATAACGTCGACCAAATATATGACGACTTTAGACTTAACGACTGGTTATTTTCAAATAGGGGTTAGGCCTGAGGACGTGCCTAAGACTGCTTTTATAACCAAGTCTGGCACTTATGCATTCCTGCGTATGCCGTTTGGCTTTTCAGGGGCACCGGCAACATTTCAGCGATGTATGGACATTGTGTTAAGGCCTGTTCTTGGAATGTCCAGATTTATCTATTTAGACGATAACATTATTACTAGTGATAATCTCGACCAACATGTACAGGATTTAAGACAGGTGCTTTCTTTATTAAATGAGGCCGGTGTAAAAGTTAATGTCGAAAAGTGCAAATTTGCAGCCCCTGAATTAAAATATTTAGGTTACAAAATATCTCAGAAATGAATCGAGACAGACGAATCAAAAATATTCGCTGTACAAAAGTATCCGACTCCAAACACGGCAAAGAAGCTCTCTTCTTTTCTAGGACTTTGCTCATATTATAGGTCCTTTATAAAAGATTTTGCAGCTATTGCTGAACCATTGTTAAAATTAAAAAGGAAAAAGGCAAGATTCTCGTGGACGGCCGAAGCCAATAGTGCGTTCGAAAAATTAAAGCAAGCATTAACGCAAGCCCCTGTGTTGAAATTTCCTGAAAAGGATGAGAATTTAGAAATTTCAGCGGATGCTTCGGATTATGCGGTAGGAGCGGTACTTTCGCAAAATCAGCAGCCCGTGGCATTTTTTAGCCGAACTTTAAATAAAACCCAAAGAATCTATTCCGCGACCGAAAGAGAGGCACTTGCAGTTCTGTTAGCAGTGCAAAAGTTCCGAGTCTATTTTGGAAAGGCGCCAATAACAGTGTACTCTGATCATGCGGCGGTAACTAGATTGTACTCAGGGAAAAAACTTATCCCCAAGGTTGCACTCGACGACGTGAAGGAGTTGTGTCGAAATTCACAACGTTTCGACAAAATCAAGTATCATGTTTAAATTAGTATTCCGAGCCCAATGAACAGACCCTTTGGGGTTTACTAGCATATTTTATAAAGTTTTAGACAGCAATCAGAAATTAAGTTTATTTGGGTTCAGATTTTAGCTAGGTTCCAGAAAAGGTTAGTCTTAAATACTAATATCGAAGATAATGCAGTTATATCCATATTGAAAATATAATATAATAGTATATGAAGAACTTACCAATTTGCCGAAAACCCGGTAATCCTAAGTGCTTTAATTACGAAGAGATTGATTGATTTTTGAAAAGAAATCACAGATTTCTGGACTTGGAATTTTTTCGACGGTACTTCCTAAGCCTAGTACGGCAACCACGTGGTTGGCCGTTCGGCGGCACCCTTCCGTTACAAGGATGGCATATGAGGTGAACAAAATTATTGAAGCACACATTTTCACAATATTTTTTGAAAACTACGAGATGCACACATACTAATGCGATGTATCCTTGGATTCATTCAGGCACACATTCACGCACAATTTGATTTATCA